GTAGATGACACATGCGATGAAGCTGTTTGTGTTTCATTCCTTAGCTGTAAACACACATAGAAATTGTCAGTACAGCCTCCTTATCCATCAACTGGAGATAAACTTTTCTATTTAAGGAAATTTTGCTTATTATTTAGAAGGATTATTAATAAAAAAGATAACATTTTTTAAAAAAATTATCTGACTAAAATCTTCGCAAATTTACCGGATAATCCCGAAGTTTATATTGACACCATCGCAAGAGAGCTCGTTTAATGGAAGCTGGATTGAGCGGATTGACTGCTTGAGGTCTGCCGCTGAAATGATGAATAATGACGTCGAAGTGAATTTTGTTATTAGCTCACCCATCAAGATAAAAATATCCATTTTATCAAACTGTATCCATATTTCACCAAAGCTTATTAATAATCTGTTATAGCAGGATTACCAAGACCCATTTCAGCCAATAACCGCGGGTGTCTCATGTTAGCGATGCTACTACGGTACTATGATTATAGATTGTAAAATTACGAAAATCACGAGTCAATTCCCTCTTTGTTTCATTTCTCACGATTCCTTCATAATTTAAAAATCCCTCTACGTGTCCCTCTCCCCAATATTTTCGATTTGAGAGCAAATACGGATAACTTTTTAATTTTTGACTCTAGCTTGCAAAAAATAAGCATGTAATAAAGGAAAAAAGAGACTAACGCTTGGTCCATTTGCTTAAAACCATTAACTTTCGATATCTGGCCGTTATCTGCAATTAATTCTTTACAATTAGTGGCATAGCAAAATAGGCAAATTGAGCGCATTTGTTTTTCATGAAAAGTGGGAAAAAAGTGCAACGTTTTTTCCGGAAATTTATTCAGTTTAAAACATCTGGCGGAAATCAACAGAAACCAAGGATGTCTTGAAACGACTAAAGCCCTGTAAAGTGTTGCTATCAAAGGAGCTACTAAAATGGTATCGCTCAGAGAAAGTGAAACGAATTGAGGAACGCCAGAAGGCTGATTACCAAGCACTGTAAAATTGGTCAGAGCAATCAGGAAAAAAAGACTGCCAATGCGTAAAAATGGAAAAATACGCTATGCACTGTGACTGTTCAATGTACAAAAATTTCAGAATTACTAAAAATTGCCCTTTGAAATGAGAAACAAGTGGTAGTGTTACAGATGCCAGTGAGAAACATATGCTAGACACGCTTGCGCCAGACTTTTCTTTCATAAGATGCTTGCCTTATCATATCATTATATACTGTTTGCGAAAGAACTGTTTTGGGCAGGCTTTTAATCCGTAAATAAACAAAGTCACAAAAGGAATTCTGCAGAGCAAAGCATTCTATTTGAGGCAAAGCAACAAAACGATTTGGCTGCTGTTATGAATCAGTGATAAGTAAAGAATTTTCATGAAAAAATAGAAAATATTTCGAAGTATTGTGAAACTGGGATACAGTAGCAGTAGATTTAATCACTCCTATGGACTGTAAATTCTTCATGATGCATTCACAGCGGAATTTAATTTTTTTGATACTTGGCTACTTTATTCTTGAGAATTTTTGGCACCCTAAATCCATTGAATAAGAAGGATCAAATAGACGTGCAAGGTGTTTTTATATTCGCAGAATAGCATACGGACAGAAAACATTCTCTTTAAATTTCAGCTTTCTAACATCTCTAGATGACTTACTTAGTCGAAAGCGTG